GCATCTCTCTGACAGCACTACCATCAGCAAGTGGGAGGTGTGATAGGTCAACCTGCTGCAAGATGTCTTCATCCATCATGGCAGAGTCCCCCACACTCTCCAGCACATTGACTTCTGTTTCAATAATGGTAGACACACGGCCAAGGTAAGTGCCTTTCTTGAAAGTTTCTTGTGAGTTACGCTGGGCATCATGGGATTTTTCTATCAAGAGCTGAATTTTCTGTCCATCATGAACAACCACACCATCGTGAATTATCAGTGGCAATGAGCATGGCACGCTCTGAGCCTCATAAAAGAATTCCTGTCCCTGAAGGGTCTCTGGAGGGACTCCCTCAATGTATGCAGATACCAACTCTGCTTCACCTTTTTTCACTGTGAAGCATTGTAAGGAGAAAACTGGGAGGTTTCGATAAACTGTTTTGATGCTGTCCTCAGCAAAATACACCTCAAAGCTCCCATCCTTGAGGGCTCCTGTAATCTTTTCTAGACCAAAATCCACTGAGAGACCATGGTCTTGAAGGAAATCTATTCCTAAGATAAGATCATGCTTTATGTCACTATTGCCAGCTACCAAGAGATTCACCTCTAGTCTGGCATTGCCCAATAAAATGGGTAGTTGAATTTTCCTTGATGACTGAATCTGTGAGGATCCAAGCCCTTGAATGATATGTGGGGTGCTTGTATTAAGAACAGTTGCTGTCCCAAGCACTTCACATCAGATAAGAGAAACCGTGGCACCAGTATCAATCAGAGCATCCACTGACCAGGGTTGGCATTTTTTTTGATTTTTTTAAAAAAATCAAAACAAATCAAATATCAATGATTTTTTTTATTTTTTCATGATTTTTTTTTATTTATTAGATTTTTTTATTTTTTCAGCTTTTTTGTCTTTTTGAGGTGTTATTTTTTATTTTGCAATTAGCCTACTAACAATAACAGTATATTGCTGTTATCTCCAGCGCCGTTCCTCCTACAGAAAAGGTCAGTTCCACAATGTCCTGGGCTTTCAGTCGTTCCTGTCCAAGACTCTTGATGGTGACTGGATGAACACAAGACTCAATGGCATCTTGATCCAAACAAAGACAATCCAAGAATGCTTTGCTTACTAGGTTTATTTGTGCACCACTATCAAACAATGCACATGCACACTGTCCCTGGCTCTTAATAAACACGGTAGTAAATTAAGATTTTCCTGGGCATGAACAAGGTGACGTTAGAGGTGCTTCAGAAGCAAGTGTCACTTGAATATCTGGGTAGTTTTCAGCCTCATCACTTGACATCTCTAAGGCACACAGTGAAGTATCAGGGGATGAGTGATTATTGTTCTCAAGTAGTGGTTGGTAGAAACGATTTTCAACCAAGGGGTTGTAGTGAACTCCTGAGACACATTGGAGGTGGACCCGCTTGGATGGGTCATTACTTGGGTTTTCTAGTGAAGTATGGATTATTGGATACTTGATCCCATGATGTACCCAAACATCAAGAGAATAGATCTTGGAAAAAGCTCTTAGAGCCCAGTCACCCATCAGTTGTCCAGGCAGCGCGGCCAGCTGGAGTTGATTTTTGGATGATCGATCAGATCGAGACCCATACAATTCAAGGTTCTTTAGGACTTCATTGACTAGCTGTTGGCGCAGGTCAGTCTGGCAACCAGGAGCAGGGAGATTTGGATTATGTATGCCTCGGTGGTGTTGCAGAACAGCAAAGAGGCTTTTAGGTAGAGCATCTCCACCACCCTCTACACCTGTCTCTTATACACATCTAGATGTGTATAAGAGACAGGAGTTAGGCATCGCTGCTGATGTAGTCCTCAATGACAGGGTAAAATTTCCATTGCTGGAATGTAGTCGGATCACTCGTGCACTGAAGTCCATTTCAGCTTTCAATTCTTTCAGCAGATTGGCTCCAAGTATGACACAATAAGGTATGTCTGATTGGTCCACAACGGCAAAGAGAGCCGTTATCTCCAGTGCCGTTCCTCCTACAGAAAAGGTCAGTTCCACAATGTCCTGGGCTTTCAGTCGTTCCTGTCCAAGACTTTTGATGGTGACAGGATGAACACAAGACTCAATGGCATCTTGATCCAAACAAAGATGATCCAAGAATGCTTTGCTTACTAGGTTTATCTGTGCACCACTATCAAACAATGCACATGCACACTGTCCCTGGCTCTTAATAAACACGGTAGTAAATTCAGATTTTCCTGGGCATAAACAAGGTGACGTTAGAGGTGCTTCAGAAGCAAGTGTCACTTGAATATCTGGGTAGTTTTCAGCCTCATCACTTGACATCTCTAAGGCACACAGTGAAGTATCAGGGGATGAGTGATTATTGTTCTCAAGTATTGGCTGGTAGAAATGATTTTCACCCAAGGGGTTGTAGTGAACTCCTGAGACACATTGAAGGTGAACCCGCTTGGATGGGTCAGTACTTGGGTTTTCTAGTGAAGTATGGATTATTGGGTACTTCATCCCATGATGTACCCAAACATCAAGGGAATAGATCTTAGAAAAAGCTCTTAGAGCCCAGTCACCCATCAGTTGTCCAGGCAGTGCGGCCAACTGGATTTGACTTTTGGATGATCGATCAGATTGAAACCCATACAATTCAAGGTTCTTTAAGACTTCATTGACTAGTTGTTGGCGCAGGTCAGTCTGGCAACCGGGAGCAGGGAGATTGGGATTATGTCTGCCACGGTGGTGTTGCAGAACAGCAAAGAGGCTTTTAGGTAAAGCATCTCCACCACCCTCTACACTGGTCAAAACAGTGAGGCCATCTGGTAATGTGTCACTTGTAATTTCAGGATGGGAAGGCAGAGCAGGGGCTAGTCTTGAGAGCGTATCAGCAATTTGGTTATCCTTCCCTGCTTGATAGCGAACTTCAAAGTCAAATTCGGCAAGCTCCGACATTGTTCTAGCTATACGGGAGTTACGTTGAGCCATATTATGCATATATACTAAAGGACGATGGTCTGTGAACAATAGGAAAGGTACACCAAACAGAAATCCACGAAAAGTACGCAGAGCCCATCGGATGGCCGCAAGTTCCCGATCTATGGTGCTGTAATTCTGTTGGGTTTTACTAAAAGTTGTTGATGCATAAGAGATGACACGGACAACACCATTCTGCAGTTGAGTCAAGCACGCACCAGCACCAGTGCCAGATGCATCAGTTGATAATTCCATTCGATTAGCACCTGCACTATAGTCAGGATAAGCCAATTCCATGGCTGAACATAGGGCGCTCTTGAGGGTTTCATAAGACTCGTCCATTTCGGCAGTCCAATTGAGTTTAGTCTTGTCTGAGAGTCCCATGAGAGAAGTCAATGGTCGGGACAAAACTGAACAGTTAGGAACAAACTTGCGCTGGAAGTTAGCCAATCCCAGAAAAGAACGTAGTTCCTTAACTGTNACCAATTTGTCATTCATAGTACATTTATACTAAGCCATGAATAACAATACCTCAATATAAATTAAAGAATGCCACTCAATATTTTTAAATATATGAAAAAATCAAAAAAATCAAACAAATCGAAAAAATAAAAAAATCATGATTTTTTTATAAAAAATCAAGTGATTTAATCACATGATTTAATCATTTTGATTTAATCATTGCCAACCCTGCCACTGACCGACCACGTACTTGCACAGGAATGACCATCAATGGTTCAGGTTTAAAGCGAGATAGTGATATGTCAAATGAATTTTCTACATCACACATTTCTATGACAGGACTTTTCACTTCCGATGGGTCGCTGTTGTCGGAGTTAATTTCCTCCTGGTGAACTTGAGCAACAGTGGGGATGGGAGGATTGACAGTAACTAAAGTAGAATTTAGGGATTCATAACTTATAGAAGGGATATTTCTGGGAGCATCCAAAGTAAACCGAATACTTGGGTACCATGTTGTTCTATACCTTGGAGCAGGGAAAGCCCAACCCATGGGAAGAAGGGGTTGCATACCAAGGTACTGGGGCTGTTGGAGATCCTCTGGTAGGGCCCCACTAACACCAGAGGGATTTAGTTTAAAGCAGTTCTCTCCTCAATCTGGTGTGTATCCTCTTTAATGTGAACTCTCCTAGGACTGGGTGTATGTGACTCGTTTTGAGTTCTCTGGAAGGCAGATCTTTCCCGTCGATGTGGACACCTGGCAATTGTGTGCTCATTGGATCCAAAGACAAGGCAGAGTCCCAACCGTTTTCTGCACTCATGCCTCATATGTCCTGGCTTTTTGCAAAAGTCGCAGATCTGTTGGGAAGGTCGAAAAGGGGTATTTGGTAGTACTGATGGAATTCCATTAGCTGGAAGGGAGGCCTCTTTCTTGCCATCAGTATAGTAAGTCTTGGTTGGTTCCTTTGGTGTGCAGGTATTGACCCAAATAGCATCATCATCACTGACTTGGTGGGAAGTATCAGTTTCATCTTTGTCAGCATCCTGGCGGCTTGCCAGAGCAAGGATGTTTGACCACGGCATTGCTCCACCATCCATAGTGATGCAAATGGAATGTGCAGTCTTGAGTTGTTTTCTGAAGGCTCGTGGGACAATGTCAAAAAACTTTTGTCATAAGGTTCGGCTATACTCAAAAGTTCGGCGAGGATATGCAATCCGGTAACTCTTCTCTAGCCTTGCAGCATACAACCTGTAACCCTCATTTGGTACATTTTGGCCTTGGTGAAACGATGCCTCAAGTTGGTTTGATAGGCTTCTTTAGAGTCCTTGTGCCACTTACAGAGCTTTCCAATTAGGGTACTGTATGACTCTCCAGGTACTCTTAGCAATGAGTAGGCACTTAGCATGTCCCCACTCAGGAATCTTCCCAACTCACTCACCCAGAGTGAGGTGCTCCCACGGAAGTTGTTAGAGCAGTATTCCTCAAATGTTTGTAGGAACAACTCAAATGGTTGACCAGAGGTTGAGTCAAACACGTCCGGCTTAGGGACAGAACGATGGTCTAGTGCTCTAGTCTATTCAAGGCATGAACCAAGTCATTTGTTGACACTATTTCATCCCTGGATTGATGTTTGTTTTGGGAATGTTTTTTGTGACGATGGTGATCCCCACTCTCTCTAGGAGCTCTGGTATTTTCTTGAGGCACTCTTTGCTTCCTATGGTGAGCCTTGTCTTGCTGACGTCCTGCAGGTGAGTTTTCACTGGCGCTCCCAGAGGATGAACCCCCTGCAAATCGCTGGTCATGAATACCTGACACCGATTCTTCACTGGCTTCACTGGCAGAAGATGAGTTGTGTCCTGGAGCAGCTGCAGAAAATCGAGATTGTCCATTAGGAATTTTCACTGTTCCCTTTACCACGTTTTACTGAAAGTTAAATAGATGCTTTGTGTGCATGATAGTGTGTTAAAATCTCCAAAAAATAATCAATAGTGGCTACTTTTTACTGGTTTGTAATAAGAGTTAACCATTACTGCCTTCAGCCATGTCATCTGTTCAGCTCACCTTGGTCCTCTTGAAAAGAAGAAAGACTACAAAGTGCGAGCTGCAGATCAGTCTGCATAAAAGAAGCTGCTGAAGAAGCTGCACAAGAGAGCTTTAGAGAAGAATCCTGATGAGTTTTACTTCCACATGATCAACAGTCAAACTGAAAACGGCTTACACAAAGAGAAAGTAATCATCAAGGAGTTGACCTGCTAGGATGTCTTAGCTGACCTGACATATGTTAAATTTAGAAGGAGTATGGAGTGCAAGAAAATTGACAAGTTGCGTGCAACTCTTCACTTCTTGGAGCCCAGCACCGACGAAGAGCCGGTCACCCAGGAGGCCCGGGTTCGATTCCCGGCATGAGAACCAAATTATGTAGCAGATCGATCAACTGGGGTTCCACAAAACCTATGTGGATATGAGCCCCCTTACCCCATGAGACTATCCCACTCAAGATGATTAGACTGAATTTGGGACAATGAAAAACTGGTGAATACAAAAACCCATATACTTAAGACTAAGAACCTAAACAATGACAGTAGAGGATCATCCGCAGGCAGCAAAGTACATTTTCCAAAAGATAACCTAAGCCACCCTAGGGGAGAAACCCTTGTAACAAATTTGTGGTACATGAATTCGAGATTACCATTACAACATTGTGAAGCTGTTACACCACTGGAAAATTCGAAAACGCATCCTAGCCTACCACACACGGATTGATAATCATAGCCAGGTAAGCAGCACAACATGGGTCTGCTGGACACGAGCAAAGGGAAAAATCTGGTTAAACAAAACAGTGAGTATCGGCTTGATTTCCGGAGAATAGAGCAGTACACCTGCAGGATACTTTACCAGGTCCCAGGATCACTCCTGGAGCATAGCCAGAAGACAAGTTTGTTAGATCACTTCTGGCCAACTTTGCAGTCATACACAGGCACACACCCCCCAGGCACACACCTCTTTGTACTCACCGATCTAGTAGCCGGAATACCGAGATGTCACTGACTGCAAGAGACTCCAGAAGGTGCACCGCCAGAGAACCAGAAACCTTGAGTACTGGGAAACAGCAAGATACTCACTATGCTTTGTAGTGAACAAAAAAGATTAATCAACGTACAGATATGGCAGTGGTACCGTTGGATAGGGCAGAATGTCAGCTTTAAAATGAGTATAAAAACCGAAAAAGTGAAAATTTTCAATTTTAGGGTAGACGCTCCCCTTAATTTATTCATTGATAATTTAGGTTAAATTTTGTCCGTGCTATTTTGCTAATTTCATTTATATTAACTTCTAGTGTTCCCTTGCATTTTACTTTGTTTGTGTTCATCTTTGACTGATATGGTTCAGTTTGAAGAAGTTAATTTATTATATTGGATTCTGGTTATAATTAATTCTAGTAAGTTTATGGTCTCAATTCATCAATTCATCTTCCTCATTTGAGTACTCCTTAGTTCTAATTATGTGTGCCACAGTGGTGTTGCAGAACAGCAAAGAGGCTTTTAGGTAAAGCATCTCCACCACCCTCTACACTGGTCAAAACAGTGAGGCCATCTGGCAATGTGTCAGCTGTAATTTCTGGATGGGAAGGCAGAGCTGGGATTAGTCTTGAGAGAATATTGGCAATTTGGTTATCTTTCCCTGCTTGATAGCAAACTTCAAAGTCAAATTTGGCAAGCTCTGACATTGTTCTAGCTGTACGGGAGTTACATTGAGCCATATTATGCATATATACTAAAGGACAATGGTCTGTGAACAATAGGAAAGGCACACCAAACAGAAATCCACGAAAAGTATGCAGAGCCCATCAGATGGCTGCAAGTTCCTGATCTATGGTGCTGTAATTCTGTTGGGTTTTACTAAAAGTTGTTGATGCATAAGAAATGACATGGACAACACCATTCTGTAGTTGAGTCAAGCAGGCACCAGCACCAGTTTCAGATGCATCAGTTGATAATTCCATTCGGTTAGCACCTGCACTATAGTCAGGATAAGCCAATTCCATAGCTGAACATAGGGCACTCTTGATAAGACTCTTCCATTTCAGCAGTTCAATTGAGTTAAGTCTTGTCTTGTCTGAGAGTCCCATGAGATAGGGCACTCTTGATAAGACTCTTCCATTTTGGCAGTTCAATTGAGTTAAGTCTTGTCTTGTCTGAGAGTCCCATGAGAGAAGTCAATGGTCAGGACAAAACTGAACAGTTAGGAACAAACTTGCACTGGAAGTGAGCCAATCACAGAAAAGAACGTAGCTCCTTAACTGTTGTTGGTTTCAGAAAGTCTCTTACAGCTTGCATTGAAGGCTCCAATTTGCGAGCTTCATTTCTCCCAACTATATGCCCAAGAAAGACTACTTCAGAGCAGAACCATGAGCACTTTGAGGGTTTAACTTTGATGCCATACTTTGCAAGAGTAGCCAGCACAGATCCCACCAGGGCAATATGCTCATCAAAGCTTCGGCTCATGGTAAGTATGTTGTCAATGTAAACGAGGACCTGTTTAGTCGGAAAACCTTGTAGAACTTCCTGCATTTCCCTTTGAAAGGCAGCAGGTGCATTTTTTAATCCAAAACTAAGTCTTTTAAATTCATAGTGGTTTTTAGTGGTAGAGAATGCGGTACACTCTCGACTGTCAGGATGCAGAGGTACCTGATAATACCCTAGCACAAGGTCTAATGAGGTGAAGTATTCTGTCCCATTTAGGCTGTACACAAGATTGGTCGGTCATGTTTGGCATTGGGAACCTATCTGCTTTTGTGACCTTGTTGAGCTTCTGGTAGTCAATGCAGAGCCTCACAGTTCCATCTGGTTTCCTGATAGGTACCACAGGGATTACCATGGGGAGTGACTGTAATCTATGATATCAAGACTCCTTAGCTCTTGGCATTGTTTTTCAATTTCTTGAGCCACAGGTTCTGGAAATCTTTGAGGCTTTTGGAAAATGGGCGTGGTGTCATGCAACTCTATTCGGTGCTCTGTCACTCCAGCACAACCAATGTTGTCATCACCCCTACTCAAGACAACTGCACACTTGGACAGCGTTTCCCTGACAGCACTACTATCAGCAAGTGGGAGGTGTGATAGGTCAACCTGCTGCAAGATGTCATCATCCATCTCGGCAGAGTTCCCCACACTCTCCAGCATATTGACTTCTGTTTCAATAATGGTAGACACCCAGCCAAGGTAAGTTGCCTTTCTTGAAAGTTTCTTGTGAGTTATGCTGTCATCATGGGATTTTTCTATCAAAAGCTGAATTTTCTGTCCATCATGAACAACCACACCTTTGTGAATTATCAGTGGAAATGAGCATGGTACACTCTGAGCCTCATAAAAGAATTCCTGTCCCTGAAGGGTCTCTGGAGGGACTCCCTCAATGTATGCAGATACCAGCTCTGCTTCACATTTTTTCACTGTGAAGCGTTGTAAGGAGAAAACTGAGTGGTTTTGATAAGCTGTTTTGATGCTGTCCTCAGCAAAATACACCTCAAAGCTCCCATCTTTGAGGGCTCCTGTTATCTTCTCCAGACCAAAATCCACTAAGAGACCATGATCTTGAAGGAAATCTATTCCTAAAATAAGATCATGCTTGATGTCACTATTGCCAACTACTAGGAGATTCACCCCTAGTCTGGCATTGCCCAATGAAATGAGTAGTTGAATTTTCCTCGATGACTAAATCTGTGGAGATCTGAGTCCTTGAATGATATGAGAGGTGCTTGTGTTAAGAATGGTTGTTGTCCCAAGCACTTCACAATGGATAAGAGAAACCGTAGCACCAGTGTCAATCAGAGCATCCACTGACCAACCACGTACTTGCACAGGAATGACCATCAATGGTTCAGGTTTAAGATGAGATAATGATATGTCAAATGAATTTTCTGCATCACTCATTTCTATGACAGGACTGTTCACTTCCGATGGGTTGCTGTTGTCAGAGTTAGTATCCTCCTGGTGAACTTGAGCAACAGTGGGGATGGGAGGATTGACCATCACCAGAGTGAAATTTAAGGAGTCATAACTTATAGGAGGGATACCACTGGAAGCATTCAAAGTTAACTGGATACTTGGGTACTATGTTCTATACCTTTGGAGCAGGGAAAGTCCAACCCATGGGAAGAAGGGGTTGCATGCCAAGGTACTGGGGCTGCTGGAAATTCTCTGGTAGGGCCCCACTATCACCAGAGGGATCTAGTTTAGAGCAATTCTCTCCTCAATCTGGTTTGTATCCTCTTGAATATGGACTCTCCTAGGACTGGGTGTGTATGCCTCACTATTTTGAGTTCTCTGGAGGGCAGATCTTTCCCGTCGATGTGGACACCTGGCAATTGTATGCTCATTGGATCCACAGACAAGGCAGAGTCCCTACCGTTTTTGGCACTCATGCCTCAAGACAAGACAAAAGGCCTCAAGACAAGACAAACAAGAGATCTTTGCAACTGCATCTTTGTCCCTTTGTGTCATTTCCTGCCATGCTCATTCAAAAACCACTCTCACCTAGAAAGTTCAAGTGTTCCAGGCAGTACTGAATACAACAGAAAGTTTTTTTACTTGATATGGTGTTAATCCTCTTACATCAGAAATCATAAAATGATGGTATATAAAGTTGAGAGAAATTTATTGTTTTTTTACAGACAAATCCCCAGGCCATCCTAGATTGTCTTATGTGCATGCTGAGTGCAGCTGCTACTGTTTTCATACATAATTCAAATACATCTCTTGGCAGCTCAACAGGCTTTACATGACTATTGGGCACATGTTGAACACCTTTGGAAAGGTATGAACAAATTTTTTTCTTTCAGCAAAAAGAATTAGTACTTGTGTAAGTCTATTGGTGTTCAAAATATTGTTATAGTAAAGCAGACATTGTTCTTTAATGACATTTTGTTGGAGACCAGAGAGTAGCTCTCAGAAACTATCCTCTTACTTTTTCTCAATTTGGTGAATTGAAATTTTAATGGAATTTAAAAGTTATTAAAAAGTTTTTTTTTTTTTTTTCTTTAATGCACTGTATTCATTATCAAGTAAAGTAACACTTTTCAGTGCATAAAATTGAGATTTTAGAATTGAATAAGTACACAAATAATAAATCAATTGCAAGAAAATTGTTAATGCAAAATAATACCTGTTCTTCTAATGTACATAATTATTCAATCAACACGTCTCCAAATGCACAAGCAGACGCAACTGCAAAATTGCGCATTTTGCACAAGTGACCAGTACATAACTTCATTCGTCACTTGTGAACCTATATGAGTGAAATTACAAATAAAACGCAATAATTGAATATGTCATGGCAAGACTCTATGTATTGAATTTGTTCAGAATTTATGGTGTTTTGATAGGGATCCTGGTCCAAAGCCTTCATTTTGCATACAAGTCTGCTTTTCAATTGTTCCATTTGATTCAATGTCCAATATTTTTCTGTTATTTCTTTGATTTTTGGAATTGGCATGAAAATTTCTTTGAGGTGTTTTGGGTTTTTTAAGGGAAGCCAGATTTTTTTATAGAACCTGTAAATTAAAAGGTGGGTTTCAAGGTAAGGTTTAGAATACCATCAAATGGGGTAATAATGGACAGTCCTTGGCCACGGCACAAAAATGTTATGATAGCAAAATAATTGAAATATTGCAAAACTAAAAATAGTGGTGTGGACTTGAACATTTTTCCTATCTATGTAGCATAAATGAAGTAAAAAAAAATCATACATTTGCTAGCTCTAAAAATTCCTACAAAAAAAAAGTTGGAAAGTACTTCTGCTAAGGTCTGTAGTAAAAAAAATATTTGCCATATTAAAAAGTTTGCTTAAAACAAGTTGTAGACAGGTGTTGGGTTCAAAACTTTATTGACAGAATTTTTGAATCTCAACCTAAAACAAAATGGCAACAAAGAATTTTGATTGCATTCACCTTGTCCAGTGAAAAAAAATTCACTTGGCAAAAAATTAATGAATCATTAGTCATTACAAAATTGTGCATAAAATGTCATCAAATTGTGCACTGGGCAACATAAAAAAAGTAATTAACCTAAACTATGATTTATTTCTCCAAAAAATATGATGGTTGTCACTAAAATATTCCTTTCTGTTTCAGGTATGTTTTTTGTGATCTTTTTTGTTATTGAATTCACATGACTCAATGAAAATTGTGCAAAATTACAAGCCCAGTCCTGTTGCCTATAGACAGGGTTGGTGATTTTTTTTAAATCAATGTTTATTTTTCATGATTTTTTTATTTATTTATTTTTTACCTTTTTGTCTTTTTGAAATGTTATTTTTTATGTTGAAATTAGCCTACTAACAATAACAGTATATGGATCAAAATGGATGGCTAAAAATAGCACTTATTGCCTTCAATAATGGCCAATGTGGTGTTTACCACTTTGGGACTTTTGGGTAAACAATTATTTGATAAGTATATTTATTAGCTTTGTAAAGTGTATATGGAGCAAGGTAACAAGCTAAATATTGACCAGTTTGTAAGTGGATATTTTCAACACACTATGGTATGAATTTTTAAGAATATGTGGATTTATTTAAATTTTTCATACTGTAGCTTCTTAGTTATAAACAACTAGCAATACCATTTTGTCAAATTTTGAACATATACAATAGTTGAAGCCTCCAGGTTTGGTACAAATTTCAAAGTGCCAAATCCATTTCTTTGAGAGTTAGGAGTAAAAGAATTGACAAATTGGTTTTTTATAGGCTTGCATTATTTCTGTTTTGAAAAACAATAAAACTGCAATGAACTGGGTTAATTGATTCAATACATATTTCTTTCATTGGTTTGTACTCTCTGACAGAGATGTTATTGTTTTTGAATAGTGATACATCAAGTTAATGATGCATCACTAACTCACTGTATAAAAAATTGACAGTTATTAGATTAAAAGTTATGGCAAATGTAATGATATATTGAAACTCTACACCATTAAATTTTTAAAGATCAATATAAACAAGGGGGACTTGGAAGCTAGATTATAAGTGAAAAAGTAAAATACCCACTTCACCCAGGTTTTCTAAATAAAACCTGCTTGGATTGGAAAATTTAGTCAAGCCTAAGTTTTTTTTTTACCCTAGCTTTGATGCTACAAACTAATGATGTCAAAAATGAAGTTGGTAATAAAACTATTGAAATCCCCAATTCATATTCAACCTGTTTTCGTTTCTTGCAGATATCCATACCAATAATAAAACTTGGATTTGCTCAAAAGTATTCACCTCTATTTGCTAAGGTCTCAACTTTCCAAAAAGCCATGGCAAAGAAAAGAGGTGTAAGTATACATGACTTTTTTGTTCTTTTGTAGTAATTTGTACTTAAACTCCTTATAGACCATAGCATTGCTACTTGGTTTCAAATTCATGTACCATGTAAATTAATTGTATCTGGATTTAATCAATCCTTACATTATTTTACAACTATTTAAGCTACTAATATATAGCATCCACTTCATGCCATATGTTGAGTATGTTCAAAACTTGAAATTTAAAGAAGCTGATACACTGTGGAAATTTTTCAGAGAATTCAAATAGGTACTTATATTTGGTATATGCTGAATGTGCTTTATCTGTGTGCTAACATTTACTTTTCAATATTTTACATTCTATCTTTGAAATTGTGGTTATTCACTGAATGATGGTGATACAAATTTATTGATGAAAAATTGCACTCCAGAATGATGCTGCAAAATCTGGGAATTCGTCTTCTGAGAAAGGAGAGCCTGCAAGCAAGAAGTTAAAGTCAAATTCTGTGCAAGAAAAAACATCATCTACTGAAGCATCTGAAACTTTTCACTCTGAAGCTGTCACAAATTCAGGGGAGAAATGGAACTTCAAAATTGTATCTTGGAATATCAATGGACTTAGAGCTTGGCTACAAGTAAGTATGAAGTATTTTTTTTTTTTTTTTGACAGCTCAAAATTATCCTATTATTTTGTTTTAGAATATGTCATTTAATCAATTGCTGAATATTTATATATTTACATATTACACTTATTCTTCACCCTGTGAAAAGAACTCACAGTCTGATACAAATACTCGATTTAAAAATGATAGTTTTTTCTCATGAACATATGCAAGTTGTATATACTATCCAAATTCTAAAGTTCTTTCACAATAAGGTTGAAGAAATAAAAGTACCTATTATTTATTTACTGATTGTAAATTTTGTTTGTTATTCATTAGCTAAAGGATGTTTTGTAATGTGCATATTAAAATTTGGTAAAACAAATGTTAAAATATTTTTGAATTTTGCATTAAGATTTGTTTTGCACAATCAATTCGAATGAAATAGCTACTGATAGTTGATTAGACCACTAGTTCATGAACATGGATTTGAATTACATTCTTTGGAGATAACTGTGAGATGGTTAATTACCAGCGGTAGATCTTGTATGGTTACTAAAATTGAACTCAATAATGAGCCTTATCCTCTTTAGTTTGTACTTGAGGCCTTTTCCATGACTGCCTACTACTAATCATCAGTGTTTATTTATTATCATGTTTAACATCACTTCCGACCATACTGTAGAATTGTAAAAGGAGCACAAATGAAGGTTTTGTAGCCTTAATCATCATTGTGAGGCTCCTTTTTTTTCTTTGTCCCAAAAATAGCAATGGATTTATAAAAAGGGCAGTAGTTTGATTATATTGCATGATATCACAGGTAGAAAGTAATTTATTGTTATTGTGTAATTTTTCGTGATTGTGATCATATATGGTGAATTCATCCATCTCAATTTTAAACTCACATGATGGATAAACTTTACATGTTCATAGTTGAAAAATTTGAAAATCTGTTGAGTAAATATATGGGTGTTCAAATTTGTCATTCATTCTTGTTAGGTATGAAAAATTAAATCAGCTTTTAATACGTTTGTCCATTTTTTAAGGTTAACTGATAAAATTGCATTGCTCCAAATGAAGATACAAATATATATTGCTCAAAAAAATACTTTATTCATTTTCAGAATGATGGACATTCTATTATAGCCAAGGAAGACCCTGATGTTATTTGCCTACAAGAAACTAAGTGCTCCAAAGACAAGATCCCGGAGGCAGCTCTCAATGTTCCTGGTTATAAATCTTACTTTATGTCTGGTGAGAATAAGTTATTGTTTTTACATGTACCGTAATTGTTGCTGTTCTTCTGGAATACGTTTAAGAGACTATAATGTAATGGCTAATTTCAAAATTAGATTATTTGGACTTGTGAATCAATTTAGCCTTGTATAAGAACAAGGGTCTGTGATTCTCTCATTTACAATTTAAAGTAATAATTTTTGTAGCGGGTCTTGCATTTTTGCTGGCAATCTAATCATTACTTATCATATGCCTCTCTTTCTTTTGCTGCTTTAAATCCTTGTTGATGTATTACAGTATATACCTATCTTCTCTAAAAACAGTTCTCACATTTTCTTGTTGGCCGATTGTAGTTCTTGTCCTGTTCAATATGTAAGTTATAAATTTCCCCAATACAGTCCTATATATAATGCATCACTCTTTGCTTTTCAGTTATAAATAGTTTCACAAAAATTCTAAGACAATTGGCTTAAACAGTATATTTGATCATTATTACTTGAATGAAGTTCCAATTTCCTCGTGATTCATGCCAAATATATTATACGAGTTCTAGATATGATGATATTACTATTTTTCAGCTGAGAAAGAAGGCTATGCCGGTGTTGCTGTATACAGCAAGGTTGCGCCTCTCTCCATTGCGTATGGTGTAAGCGATGGAGAACATGACAAGGAAGGCCGAGCCATCACTCTCAAGTTTGAAGACTTCTACCTTGTCACTGCCTGTTGGTTTGCTATTAAATATACATTTATGTTGTTTTAATGTCACAAACGCATTTCCAATACAAGCAACCTCTTTTAGCCAATATGATCCAAGCAAGTCGTAGAAAAAATGTAACATTGTAGTTAACTTCAAAGTTGAAATAATTATTACAAGACATTTTACATTTCAAATAAATATCAATTTTAAAAACCTTCGTGATTTAGATGTTAAACCTGTATTCATATGCCTTATATATTAGTTTTAAAGTTAATATATCTATATCTCTCATTTTCCCTAAAATTATTTCGTTATCTGCAGATGTGCCAAACTCAGGTCGTGGATTAGTAACACTGGACAAAAGGTTGAATTGGGACGCCATTTTCTTGAAGTATCTCCAGGAGCTTGACAAAGAGAAACCTGTCATAATGTGTGGTGACTTGAATGTCTCGCATCACGAAATCGGTGAGATTTGAATAAATATGAACTTTCCTCTCTGTAATTATGACTATTTTATATCGGTTTGTTTCACTTCCTTGGTACTTTCGAAAGTTGGATTTTTTTATACGCCATGAATCGAAATCCCAAGTCGTCAATCATAGTTGCCTTTCACAATTATCGGTTCCAAATCTGAATTTAATGCAAAATTAGCATTATCATAAGTTGAATTATAATAAATGTTGTGCGTTGATGACATCTTATGACGGAAATCCAATAACCTATTATCTGTTCAAACACTAGCTGCCTTTTGTTTATAACCGTATTTACTAAAAACCTTTTAAGGAATATTGAAGAGATAGGGCTGAAAAGTCTGCAGTCATACATTATCATTTGTAGTTAACACAGTTCTTGCATATGTATTGGTTTCAGTACATGTTGCCATATGTTTTAATAATTATGTTAGTTGTGTTTAATACTGTGGTGAAGACTATTTATCTGATTTTATCTGTTAACTTTATTGCATTATCCTGTTTCAGCACATTGTTTTTTCTGTTGACAATCATTACATAGATAATTTTCGTCCCATTTTTCACGAGCTCCTGGTTTTAAATTATGATCTCGATGTCATAGCTAGAACAATTTGAATTATTTCATTCTGTTTTCAGTAGCACACGATTAGTGCTTTTATTATTTTTTTCATTTTGAATCCCACTTGATTGTTTTGAATTTGCTGCGTTGACCTAACATAAATGTTAACTGCCTTTCCAGATCTGGCTAATCCAAAAACCAATCGCAAGAATGCCGGCTTCACGCAGGAAGAGCGTGATGGCTTCACAAAGCTGCTTGAAGCAGGATTTGTTGACAGCTTCAGACACTTTTATCCTAAGAAGGAAAATGCCTACACTTTTTGGACTTACATGAGGAATGCTAGGGCAAAAAATGTTGGATGGTGCGTTCCGAATCCGTTTTTTGTTACCGTACTGTAGCATTTGCAAAAGCAAATAGTTTTTTCTTTGAGATCTCTAACGGTATATATGATTGCTGGAATTTAATGATAAAATTTAACGGCTCATACCTTGCCTCAATTAAATCTGTTATAATTTATGGCCGGTATTGATACAGGTACCGAAAATTCGTCAATTTCTTGGGATTTAGCTTTAAGATGTGAGTGACGAACCCAAAACGTTTAGAGTGATAGGACAACAATATTTTCAGCTGAAAAGATGCAAGAAATCTCCCATCTCTTGTCTGAATTGAGTAAAGTAACCAAAGGGCAAAAGTTATTATTCTTCGGATAAATTTCTTCTTCTCTGCAGGTGGAAAATTAAAAGAATTGTTCTTGTCAAACAACGTGAGTGAAGGTGTGGCGAGCAAATTGTCATTTCTCGTATAGCATCAGTTGTATATCATAATTAGGTTATCATGCAAGAAAATCTTTAAAATATTTTTCTTGCCATTAGAGATCAAGTTCATTAACTTAGTTTACATACATCAAGACGGGCCATGAAGAATCACGGGAAATTGTTGTTTGTTCTAACTCGATTCTTTTATTCCATAAAAGTGCTTTAGTTAACTCTTAATGCAATATCCTGCAGGCGTCTTGACTACTTCGTGGTATCGGAACGCTTCAAGGAGTCGCTCTGTGACAGCCTCATCCGCAGCTGGGTGATGGGATCCGACCACTGCCCTATCACGCTGCTCATCCACACTAAGATGGCTCGATCGTCGTAACTATTTCTCTGCCAAAGATGCTCTGCCAGGCATTTCCTCTACCTCAACAAAAAGGATGTAAAAGCGTGACGATTGTTCCTAGCTTGTGAATCATATTGATGAATTGGGAATGAACTAATTGGGTTTCTTTAAAATCTAGTTATACCATTCAGTTTTGATTGAGTTACTATCATAAACTGCCGATCGGTGAATTGCAACTTAAATTCTTCAAGATTAGCTGCTAACATCACATTTTTTCAAAATATTCCCTTTATTCCTCATAACGCAGTGTGCTCGAAGCTTCAATTTTGTGTGTAAAGTTCTACATTTTACATCATACCAATTATTCGATTAGAAACTGGATTATTGTGAAGTACACTCCAAGTAGAAAAATATTCTTACATATCTGCCCAGTTTATGTATTCTTGTTCTTGTGGTTAAATTTTTCGAATGGTAAGATTTTAAATTGTTTATCTAAAGAACTGTTTTCTCAGATTTTTATTGTTACTTCTGAACATTGATGTGTAAGATGAATGCTTAGTTCGATCACGTAAAATTCTGGTCGTAAAATTTGTCTATATGATGAACTCGAATTAATTTTATAGAAGTAACATTAATGAGCAGAAAAAATCTCCATCAGAAAGTCATTCCTATTACTGTATAATTCATGAAATCTGGTAATATCATGTTTCACCAGGAACTGATCCATGTAAGAAAATTTAGATAGACACTATAAACGGAAGTTCTCAAGTTATATTGTTTTAGTGACGGAAAGATTTTCACGTAGCCTTGATTTTGAGTTCAGATATTGAGAAATTTTTGCAGTATAAAATGAGTTCCGTTCGTTTCAAACGCTATGGAAACCAGAAAATATTATTTAATATAAAAATAATCTCGTTGCTATTTACTCCTAGAAAATAAAAAATTTTGATTCCTCAGACGATAGAAGTTTAATATAGGTTGTATATAGTTTCTAAATTGTGAAAAAAGGCATTTGCTGAGCGTTGAGGTTGAATTAATACAAAGTACCTGATTAAATTTTGATAAATTTCTAGCAACAATTCGAGCACGAGTCTGTACCATTGAACTTGGATGATCACTATCCTCATTATCTTTGTGTACGTCTGTCCCTTCGTTGGATTTTTTCAATTTTCTCAACTAGATATGCAATTCGTTGAAGGTAACTTGGGAACTTTAAGTGAAGAATTTCTGTGTAGCATAAAATGATATCGATTTAGAAGCAGCGGATGAGAAGTTAATTTTTAACTTACATTTGAGCGCTATTAATTAATTCTTAGAATTCACGAGACTGAAAATGCATGATTAATGTAAAGATGTATGATTTTGCCTCGTATTCAATCTTGAGCTGCATCGATTCAAAATTTTTTTATTTCATGTACAAACTCGCTTACATTTTCTAGGTCTAGGAGACGAAGTTTCTAAGCTGCTGACTTCTATCCGCTTGCATATTAGTAGTAAATCTTGCAATTAAAACAACTTTACCTTTAACGCTTAACAGTCATCTTCTCAAATATTGACTTGACGGAAGAATTGAAACTGATACTTTAATTAATTGTTAGAATGATTCACTCAAAATCATAGTCAGTCATGAGTAACCGTTAATCATGAAATATACCTACTCCGGTTACGGTTTGGTATTCGTTCCTTCGACCTCGGATTTATGTTTAATGGATTCACCGTCGCGAGTGTTTTTTCTGCTTAATAGACTCGGCGATTGAACTAAGGCCTGATTCGTCTCGTTGTAATGTCCTATGGAGGTCCCTTTCTCTTAATAAAAAAATAAAATTTTTTAACTATGTCGTATTAGAGCTTGCCAAACTTTCAACATCTGGGAATTTCGTTGCAGCGCTTAATGTTATGCATTAAAGTTCTATGCGAGTTCCCGTATAATAGTTGTATAGTAGAAGCTAGATGATCAGAACAGCTTGACACTACGATTCAGGCAGAGGTCGCACATGAGGCGTATAGTAATTATAGTTCTATCTATTTTAAAACGGGGATAAGAAATTTAACCCATCAGCCGTCATGGAGTATATTTGGTATACATAACGAAAAATAAAAATTAATTTCAATGTATTCTGATAAGGTTCTTAATCTACTGAACTTAGAACTATGGCAGTAACAGAAAGAAGTAACAAACGAGATTCTTATTTATTATTTTGATCTCTCATCAGTATTGAAACTGAATTTGAAAGAAGTCTGTACCACAGTTCTAGGTCTAAAAACATTAGGAACTTTTATTAAATGCTCGACATGAATCATTTACCAAGTCAGAAATGATGCCTTGCTTGGCAACAAATAATAACCTAATATTCCTCAATCTCAAAGAATTTTGTAGCATAATTTTCGGCAATAAATGCACTGGTAGCGAACTCTGAATTTTATAATTAGCTATCTGGCTGCATGGATGTTGTTTAGAAATATTCCTCGATGCATCAAAAATTATTAGCTACATATGACCGCTGATCAATTTCTGGGAGTTATTTACCCAGCGGAATGCCTTGCCCACTGTATTAATTAAATGTTAGACGGAGCATAACGGTACTAATACTTTCATCACGTGAGCTGTTCGATTGCAATCATTGGGCGACTCGCCTCAACGGCCGGCCAGCCTTCGTATTCGTTGCGTCGGTTTTCAGCTAACGCGATGCTGTATCTCTTATGAAATTACATAAAAGAACAAGTCAGGGCGGCGAAAAATGTAACGCTTGTAGATCGAATTCGACCTAACATTTTACGACGCCATGGATTACAAGTTATTGTGTCCGCTTTCAGTGTACTGGGAGGATGCAATTCGGTGGCAATAGAGCAGTCATTTGGTGCCTTAGAACGAGGATTGCTAAATTGAAGATTGGTTGAAATTTGAAACGACATCTATCGAGAACATTATGAACCGGCTACCTTATGAGTTCGGGACTTCCTAGTCCCCGGTCACGCTGATGCGCCGCCTTACAAATAAATAGTCCGTAATTTACAGAGCTAAACTGATCAAAACTCACTCTTTGAATTTGTAATCTACCAAGTAGCATTGAACAACTTTCCACCACTTCGATTTAAGTTCTGATTTTTTTTTTTCAGTCCAACATGAAAACTAAAGAATAGAAGTGTCGGCACTGAATAAATAGGCCGAAGGCCTGTTGCCGATTCTTGTACTTTTCGTGACTTGATTCCACAAGGGATCCGGCCTGGCAGTGCAATAATAACATCTTGAAATTTTCCATACACGTAGTCACCATAATCCGTTTGTTGTCCGGGTCGAAAATTCTTAGATTTTTCAGCATTAACTTAAGAATTTGCCGCCGGATTGCCGGCAGCAGATGTGAGATCACAAAAGAGCGTCACAACAAAGCTTAATAATATGTTAAAGACTCGTATGTACAGACGGAGGAGCTTCGAACTCTTCTTAATTAATTAAACAAAACGCACTCGACTCAGCAAGATGAAAACTTCTTCCAGCTGATCTCGGATCTGCGGGTGAAAAACACCGTTGATTAATATAAATGCTAGAATCCATAGCCTATAATATATTATTAATGCAAATTCCGTCAGTCAGTTTGCAAGCCGTTGTTTTTATAACCACGTAAACTTTTTGCGTTATTAACTGATGAATAGCTGAATAATAGGTCAATTATTTACGGAAGCAATTTACAAATAAACACCGTCGCTATTTAATACAACGTGTCATATTGCATTATATGAACTCGGTTTCCACAATTCGCCATAAACTATAATTAATTTACCGATCGTCGCTTTACTGTGCAAATGTTGAATGTGCAAATAAATGTTGAATGTGCAAATAAATGTTGAATGTGCAAATAAATATGGAAACTCTGTTTTAAATTATGATTGAATAAAAAATTTTCATTTAATATCAATTTCATCATGCAAAAATGATTGTGCACAAGCTTGTTTAATTACCGGTGAATCTCCGCTTAGGTGACAACTATCGAGCAAGAAGAATAATCTACTTCAAATGCTATGCAAAAAGCTATTTTCGAGCGATCAACCTATAGCGACTCTATAACTCGTTAGCTGCTATCGGTAACTGGTTACCTCACTGTTAAGGGGAGCGACTTGGTCCAAAATCGACAATTTTGGCTTTTCCTGTTTTTAGTCTCATCTTAGAGCTGACATTCTGACCTATCCAACGGTACCAAAACCATCTCTGTACGTTGATTTATGCGTTCACGACAGATCCCGAAAAAGAGGGGGGTTGGGGAGTTCTTTCACATTTAAGATGGGAATAATTCCCGCAGTGCACTATATACAGTATCACTTGTCTACAGACACTCAACTCCAGTAACCTTGCTGCAGTCGTACGGGGTGGTTTTGGCTCGTACCATCCTTGACAGAAATTGAGCTCCAGTATCGTCTAGTCTCATTCCTTGCAGTGTTGAATGCCGATTTCGAGGCGCCCGGGACTTTGTCGGGCTCTACTGAACATTCACACTTATTGAAGCTGGAAACCTATTTCCTCCTACAGTTTCGAAGCTACAGCAATGAGACATATACCATTCGATTCGCAAAGAAAAGATCTAAATATTGTTGTAGGCGTTTTTCTAATTTCGTTATAGTTTACATCTTACTTTGCAAAAAGGGGGGTGGAATGGGGTGATTAAATCGAAAAATTTACGAAAAATGCTCCCACACCCACAAAAATGGGAATTTCAAAAAATGCCTACATCAATTTGTAGATATGGTCTTTACGCATCGAATGATATGTGTCTCGATGTTGTAGCTTGAAAATCCCAGACTCGCGGATATTTCTACTGTACCCCCTTTTTTGTCCGTTTTCTAAGAATTTCTCGATTTCTTTCATTTTTTCGAAAAATTCATATGAACAAAAAAGTCTTAGAATTCCGTTTTACATACGTGTATCAAATTTCGAAGTGATCTGTCCGTAAATAAAAAAGTTTTTTTTCGGACCAAGACGCTTCCTTAAATTACAGAAATTCAAACTGCGTCGGATATGTAAAAGTGACTCGAGCTCTGCAACAAGATGTTTCTCCATGTATTAGAATTAAAACAGGATGGAGACGTTTTACGTCTTTTTAGTGCATTTTCTCATTTATGGAAAAAAAGGTGCTATTGTGCTCGTCATGCCCGTCCGTCCGTCTGTCTGTCTGTCCGTGACTTCACGTTTTCGTCGACGAGAAAATGTGCTCTCTGTTACTCACTGCAGTGAGTACTGAGTTTATTTTTTTACTTAAAACGCTGAGTAAATGGAATTAATAACCCTGAGTAGAAATATTGCAAATTCCCAATTAAAACAGGATGGACACGTTTTACTTCTTTTTTTTAATTAAAAGGATAATTGGAGGGTGGACTCACAGGCGTGTAGAAGAGACATGATGCAGGCATCTCATCCTCTGCGTTAGGGCAGTCTGGGACGTCGTCGCAGAGAGCGTCTTGGTCGATGCAGCGCCATTGCTTAGCCTCGTTGGGGGACGGACAGTAAAATTGCGGTGTCCCATCTTGAGCTGGTGGACATTCTGTAAGAAAAATCAATTTAGATTCATATGCTCATTATTTGTGTTTTTCGACAAAAAATTTCAATTGATTACATTCTTTCATTGAATAATTTTCAGATTCTGTAACCAAAATATCATCAAGCCCTTTTTAGCGCATTTTCTCATTTATGGAAAAAATGCACTATTGTTCTCGCCATGTCCGTCTGTCTGTCTGTCTGTCCGTCCGTCCGTCCGTGACCTCAAGTTTTCGTCGACGAGAAAATGCGCTCTCTGTCACTCACTGCAGTGAGTACTGAGTTATATTTTTTGAATAATTAAAGCCTCGTTTCTACGATAAATTTAAATTGCATTAATAGGAATTGGATTGGTTTTCTTCCATTATTTCTAGGTGCATCTACAATTTTAAACCGGCAATATTCTTTATAACCTTTTGGAGAAAAATCTGAAGAGCTTTTGAAGTATAATTTCAATACTTAATACAAAAACAGGGACAAGTAGGGTGCTCTGGTACATGTCAATTATTTTGTATATTACATAATAAAATACATCTCTCTGCCGCGTCAATCGATGCACTAACTTGTGTGCTATTAGTCTATTACTAACGTTAACCATTATTTAATGTTTCTATCTCATACATACAATAATTTACATGTCCCACTGTCCCCTATTTACACTGTCCCCTATATACACTGTATGTCCCCTATTTACACTATACTCTACTTTTCCCTACTCCATGTCTATTGGTATGCCGGTCATATTGTTGTTCTCCCTCGGGCCCGCCCCCGACGAAAATACGGGAGTTTGTTGCTAAAAAAGTTCGTCCAAGTTGAAAAGTTCATTCAAATGCTAAGAAAAATCACCAAGTTTTCCTCAAACTGTACTGGTGAAAATTTTTACTTTAGAAATCATTTCAGTTTAAATATTGCGAATTCCCTTAGCATTTTTTTACATTGAAATTATCTCATGGTTCATCCGCGAATTATAGGAGTGTCCGAGAGCGTGCAATTCTTGCTCATAAATATTTACGGTCTCATTACAAAATTTCAACTCGTATCTTTATAAAATTTTATAAAACTTCAACTCGTTATCTTGCCCAAGACTCGGAAGATACGCATGTGGACCGCAGTTACTTACTGCATTTCTCTAATTAAATGTATTAAACTAAAAAAAGTTCACACTCATCATACTATTGAAGAAAGATAAAATTAGAATTTACTACGCTTTGAATTTTTTGTTTTCGTTACATCCCGTATAGAACTTCTTTCGAAAGAAGTTGTCACGAAATGAAAGCACGTCAGTTCCAGCATTTCAGTTTATCTAAAGAGGTTAGTGCTCCATCATTTCGATCTATACTAACCAGTATTTTCTTTAATTGGTTTTTAATTTAATTTTTAATGAGATACCTTCGTAACATTTCATTACATATATTCCTTTCTGCAGTTGCCTCCTATTACGTGTTTTTATGCCTATTTTATTTATATATGTCCATTTTTAAATGTCTATTTTCCCACGGAAAGCTTCTCAAATCGCATCCAAGCAAATAGATTTTCTGTCGATTTCTAGGAGCTTGTAAACATTAATCGTCTGCATGATGACAAGTCTGGAACAGAAAATAACTATTTTTGGTGTAAAAATAACAATGTTCCAGGTGAAAATGAAAGCTTTGTTGCGTGCCCTAAGTGCGTTCATTTTCGCAGCTTTACAGCTGTCAAAATTTTTCCTGTTGTAAGAAACTTTTCAGTGTTTCCTTTGCCATCATTTGTCACTCGAAGCCAGTGTGGCATTAATGCTTTGACGCAGCACAACTACAAATACAGAGCGTTGTTTTGCTGGCCAGTCGATAAACTTTACCCACATTTTGACATATTGCATTTCTCATATGAAGATCATGAATTTCCTTCGTGAATAAAATCTTACTTGTTAGGCAGTTAAAATATCTCTGTGAATAATTACTCTACAAGTAAAAAATTCAGTCTTTCTCTGAATTCTGTTAAGTTTCGTCTTTTTATCGAGGTCTGTTTTTAGTTTCGTTCATGTTTTCAGCAGCGCAGTTGCGAGCACCTTGCGCTAGGCGGGCTTCTCTATTTTCGAATCCTCCCGGGCCGTTGAGAAATAGAAGACTATCCTGCGCCAGAAAACTCCTCCAAAACTTCCATGCGGGCTGTCACTAAATATAGAAAAGACGGCAACTGGTCAAGTCTAATAGTAGAAAAAATAGATGGTCCTTGCGGAGTGAGGTGTTGCTAGCTCGAGTTCGAAAGATTCAGCTTTAACGCACAGTGAATACTTTCAGGCATCGCACATTGTGACATTTATAGCTGCTGGTAATAGCTCCATTCAGTGGAAAGAGGAACGTTGATCGGTTTTCCTTTGTATATAAATCTTTTCAAGTGTTTTCCATGATGAAGTTCTGACGAGTTCTGACTTTGTTAGCTGTTGTGTAATCGACAAACCTCAAATTGGTACTATTGTATTAAGAATTTGTGTCAATTTTGCATGTCAAAATTTAATTTTAGCACCTGGATTTTAGGTACAGAAATATTTTTACGTATCACTAGCGGCGAAGCCACTATTTTTATTCGAAATCGCTAATAACATTCATAATGAAATCCAAATACCAATTGATTTTTTTTAGATATGCTACATTTGCATATATAATACAAGTTCTATGAAGTAACTTTAGACCTCCCTTGGAGTCTGATTCTGCTCTCATTTAAAATTTGTTTGTTTCTTTATTCTATGGATGAACACAATCCATGCAACTCCATACGACCTGATAAACAATAAGGTCTCCAACTCATGTTTTTGCTTGAAACAAATATTATCGGTCCTAGTAGATTTCGATCGTGTTCCTCACGGTGGTAAAAATAGCTATTTCAGTGCCTATTTTTGAACTTTTATTACCAGAGGTTGCAACGAAGGGTTCTTTTATGAGGTTTGATGCCCCGATTATTGCAATAGCAAAAATAGCTTTTTACGCGAAAGATTGCCAGCTAAAAATGAGCTTCGTTTACTCAACAACAAATTTGTACAAGTCATAAATGTTGACTATTGCTTATATTTCTATGAACATTAATTGCACTATCTTATATCTATGTTTATTGCTCATAATGTTCATCAATAATATTATTATCATTGAAGCCGTCTGTCAAGATGCAGTCAAGACGCAGACGTATGTCTCAAGCTCATCAGTAATTCGTCTCGATGATAACGATAGCGTAAGACATCTACTACGCGGGAATTTTACAGCTCCTATAAATACCTGAAGTGGCAAAGTTCATGTTTCGTCATCCTCTTATTGTCTGTGGGCCCGAAGCTATCGTAAAAAAAAATCCGTAAGGAGCCGAGTCGATCAGGCACTATATACGCATACATGAGATACAGGAGAGGCAGGCGCTGAGCATGCAGTGGAAGAGTCGTGCACCGCTCATGCTAAATATTGCATGCGAATATTGGTGGAAATTACACAGATGCTGTGTGCGTGTTTAACTCATGATTGATAAATGCCACAAAATTTCATTCCATGTTAAAAAATTTAATTGTTGACCTTAAATTGAAAACACTGTAAATCATGCTGGTGCTTTTGGTTCCCAACCTTGAAATAACATAAATAAATAATAACATTAACGCAGAAACATATACATATTCTAATCAGATAGATATGTTATATCCGCAAAAACATTAGTTTAAAAAATCTAAAAAAACGCCTGATGAGCGCAGATGGTGTGCATTGTAGATAAAAAACTACTCTTATTGAGCGGCACCGAAATGTGTGCTATCTCCGTACTTCATACGGGAAGTGAGAGGTACTCGAGAAAATATTGTTTTCAATGAAGATTGCCGCGATGACTATACATTATAGGTTTGTTATCGCTATAAGGCTCGTCTAGAACATGATCTATAATCTCTTAACTACCGTTACGTTCTAATGAGATGCACGTAGCCATCTTTCTCTTATCACTAGACATGTTTGAAGCACATGATGAAATATGCTCGTACTTGAGCTTTGATTGTCATTCATGAAAAAAAACGTCATTCATAAAAGTCTGTGTTTTTATCACTAGTAATATATTTTGCTTATCAGCATGACAATTTAACGATGCAGAAGTAAATTTTAATGTTGAACTCATTTATTTTATACTATCTTTCGTCATTACATTAGCCATTTTCAGCATTCTGAAATGGAACATTATTTTCGTTTCGTTTATTGACTGAAAACATCATTGTTTCTGATGAATACTAAATTGATCGATCTTGAAATTTATGCTCGTGATGATACATGGAAAGATGGCGGGCACAATTTGTGATGTATCGATGGTTCTAATTCTTTAAATATCGAACATGGATGATGAGACGACGTTCATATCTTCAACGTTTTATGACGGCCGCAGTCTGCGTATTAATTAGCTTATCTCGTGGAACATCAGACAGTAATTTGTTCAACGATCATGCCATAATCAATACCATTTTTTCATTACCTGATTTGAAGTAATTTCAAAACCCCTTGCGAGGATATTCTGAAACTCTAATTGACGTTAGCATCATACCCAAAAATTTAAATTTAATTCAAATGAATTCATCTCTGCAGAGGATGCATCCGAATAAAAAGATGTATGAATGTCGGTCAGTAAAGTTATTTTAGATTTATTGGTGTTCATTCATAAGAAATAAACAAATAAAATACAAACGTAATTATGAACTCATTTCCCACAGAATTTGAATTTGCATCTTATTCATCGCAACATGGCTCACTAATGATGAAATTCGGTCCGGGAATTGGGGCAGAGGCGTCCGTATGACGTCAAACAATGCGAGGATCGAATCTCAAACGCAGTGTAGATTAGTAAGCGGAATAAGGTAAGCTTTAGAGTTGTCAGATTATTATTATAATATTTATACTCTGAGATGGAAAATAAAATGATGCAAGGCTAAATTTGAATTTCATCAGTAAAGAAAGAATGATTTTAAATCCGTGGGTCATATTCATTGCTTAGTAGCTTGATCAAGTTTCCGATAAAATTGATTTTTTTAATGAGAACGCAAATGGTTAAACTGCAAAGTTTTGGTTATGTTTGTTAGTAAACAATAATTTAAACCTACTACAAAATTGTACGCTTGGAGAAAAGGGGAAAAAAGTAGGGCAACATGGAGCAGCGCGCCCCACCCTTTTTTTAAACTAAATTTTTGATGAAGTTTTAATTGATACGAAGTATTTCTTTGTTTTGTTTAAAGGCACAACTAATGAGGAATGTATGATGAGAATTAGACGCCTACAGAGGTATTCAATTTTTAATGAAACACTATTTTGTAAAAAGTGTTAAAATGGGCCCATTGCCCCACCCCTGGGGCAATGGGCCCATGGGCTTGGGGCAAAGCGCCCACCCTTGGTTCCTTTACCACAATTGCATATTTTTTGTTTAAAGCAACACTTTACAGTTAAAAATAAGAAAAATTCAATAAAAAATGTGACATTCATTCATTTATTAATAACTAATAAAATCATATCCATTATCTTGAAAAAAATATACTCTTGGCTTAAAAAATCTATCACTGACGTGAAGAAAAATATTTCATTGACATAAAAATATATATCCTTGACTTGAAAAATATATCCTTGCGATAAAAAATTCGTCCTTGACATGAAAAAATGTATCCTTGACTAGAAAAAATATATTTAGTTGATCAGAAAAAAATTTTGTTCCAGTTTCGTCCATAATCCAAATATTATATGTGCAGAGAATTCGTACCTAATCGTGATTTCAGCCAACACCATAAAAACTCATCAACTTTTGGCTCATTGGTGTTGACTGAAATCAACTTTTGGCAAGGCAAGAGGCAATAACTCGATAAGGGGTCATAAATTCGCATAACTAGAAACTAAACCTGCTGCCTTGAGGCGGCAAATAAAAAAAATCATGCAATATGAAGTGTAATTTGTAATTCAAAAAGCTAGTCATAGTTCTGAAAAGGTCATTGAGACAAATCTAATGATGTATAACACAAGACTTCACCATGGGCGCTTTGCCCCGAGACACGCGTGGGCCCGTTGCCCCACTAGGTGTCAGTTCAATTTATATCGTGTCAACATTTTATTTTAAAAGCTAATAGTCCAAAATTGATCTCAAATTATCCCTATAAAAATTACTTTCAAATATAATTCACAATAATTTCAAAAGCTTCATCTACAGTAATCGAAAACAGTTTTATTTAGCAGCAAAAAAATTTTTATCTGGGCTAAAACAGTTATTCACAAATAACTTAATAACGCAAACACTTAGCAAAACGTAAATCCGTACACTTCATCCCAGTGAAACTGTCGACCGGCGGTAGAGAACACGGACCAATATCTGCCATACTTAGCGAGAAGCCCGCTATGGGCCCGTGACCCGCAGTGGGCTCGCTGCCCATGTTACCCTACTCTTTACAATGGGAAGAAATTGCCAATTTCCGACCAACTGACATCACGAAGTCAATGAAGGACCAAACTCGCATCATGGTGTTCCCCAAAGGAGAACATCAATGATTCTACGAGTTAATTCGGATAAAAAAACAATCGCTATTTAAGTTTTTGCACTTAATTTCTCTGTTCAGCAGCCTGCATCTGGCATCTAATTAACTATTACCATTTGATTTAATAGTATTGATTATTTGGGAAATGTTTTCGAAAAGAAAATCGAATTTTCCGAAATGCTAAAAATCAGAAAACGTTCTACTGCAACTGCAAAAATTATCAGTTTAAATTTGATGTCTAAAAACAAAAAAAAACAACGAAACCATTTTATTCATTACTACTCACCTCGTGGCCTAAACCAGAATTCCGGATGGAATCCCTTGTTCTTGCAGCGGTCGTGATGCTTGGGAAAATGTTTGCCGTGTTGTATTGATTTTTTCTGGTTAATCTCAGAGCTTGGTTGTAAATATTCCTCAATGAAAGTTTCAGGTACATTGATGTTATTTTCCAAACTTTGTTCATGAATTTGATGGTGTTCTGCTATCTCGGCGATTGCGCCGATCAAGCTGTCTGCGTTCTTGTTTTTATGACCTTTTGGATGCCTTTTTGACTTTCGTCTCCGAGCGATGGTCATGTCACCAGGTATCTCGTCAAGCGTCGGGAAAGATTTCCTCAGTTTATCAAGTTTCCTGTGAGCACCTTGGAGGAAGAGCTGTGTTTCTGGAGATATTCTGTGGGCTACAGACCTTGGATCTTCGCCTCCCATGAGTGACTGCAGCTCCCCGTCGTTGAGTGCTAAGAGCGCCTTCAGTGCTGTGCGTACTCGGTCTGCGCTAACGACATCGGGCATAACTCCTACAGGTGTCACTGAGGCTGCGTACAGACTTGGCTGCAACAAGCAGGACAGCGTAACAAACGCTATGAACGCTTTATGCATTACACAAGATTGAAAGCTCGTCACAAAATGAAAACAGTCAATCTTGGTATAATTAGGGTGATAAATTGCACACCTATTTTCAAAATAATGAAAACTTTTAATGTCTCACAAAAAAATTAAGCAGTTTGATCATAATCAGACAATGTGGGGATAATTTTAGCCGCGCGAAGCAACAGAAGCAGAGGCGTCTGGGTGAGAGCACTCGTAGCGTCGCGTCAGGGCGCTCAAACAAAACTGTTGACGAGGGTGTCTGGCGTTGCTTTATATACGCTAGGTGACCTCCCACGGCCAAATTTCCCACCTGAAAAGTGGTGAAATGTGCAGGGGGGATTGTTTACAGGGGGTGGACATAAATGTACAGGGGTGGTTTACGGTGCCGCAAATCGAGCGATGTTCTATGGTTTAGTTCGCTCGCGCAATTTTCACCCCTGGTATCTTACACGCAGAAAAGTAATCTCACACTTTTTCTCACGCATAATCCCTTTTCAACTTGGAGAATAACAAACTCTTATTTTGTTTTAATGGTTGCTGGTTCTGCGAATCCAATTGGGTTCTCATTCCACTTTCCGTAATTCCTTCCTTATATGTATTCTTGCTATCGATCAGTAAACCGTCATTGTTTTGAAGTTAATTATTTTGTTTGCAGACGTTAACGAATATCTCTTTCATAGTAGATTATTCAAAAGAGTGAAACAAGCTTGAATGTCGAGATGTTGGAGAGACTTAATTCGTGGCATTCCTTCAAAAGATTTTAAATCTATGTACCAATATAAACCTGCAATGTTTCTACGTGAGTAAGAACTACTGCCTTGGACTATTATTGTTTCTTGTTTACAAATATTGCACGCTAGACTTGGCCGTAACTGCTTGTTCAATGATAATTGAAATGTTCAATGATAATTTTGTCGCGGCTGTTGCACCATCACAACAAGATCGCGTAAACATACTTCTATTATCAGTACCATTGTATCTAAATATTTTAGATCAGTTCAATAAATGACTATTATTTTTAGTTAGTTCTGGAGTACAAATGTAATTAATAAATTGCAAAATTAAAATTTTTAGCGCTAAAAGTTTTTGTTACAAAGTTTCATGATAGAGCCACTTTCCATGCTCAATGGAGACCTCCTTCAAGATTATTTCTTTGGCCATTCATTGAAACTAAAGAATCATAATTAGAAAGGTTTATAGTAAAAATTCAATTCACTTTGACCCTTTTACAATCAGTTGACCTCCTTCTCATCTGTATCAAGACTGCAGATAAGCTACTAGAATAATTCGGTTTATGTCCATTGCTCCCAAATTGCATGCTGCTCTCGTGTAGACATCATTTTGATATGGTTTGAATGAATATCACTCAAGGAAGGCGTGAGTGATATAAGGAGGTTCCTCGTGTACAACTAACGCACGTCGCTGGGTTATCTTCGGCATCCATGATAAGAATTTCGTAATAGTTTCATTGGATGCTGGTCCGATGCAGTGATGACGTGACCGCGCTTCAGATGTAGATCACTGATACGGCACCCAATAATTGTGCAGCTATACGTGATCCTCTCGACTTTGAATGATGCGGAACCAGATTTTTCTGGATCTGAATTTTCGCTTATTAATACATTACCATTTAAATCATTAAACTTCCAAAGACGTCCATAAAATATGTTTTTTGATGGCTGCTTTAAAATTGGTGATTCAGAAAAGCCTATTTCCACCTCCTTATGAGGTCCGTCAGATTACATTTAATTAACAAATCTCGATCTTTTTTATTCCAAATGAAGAGTTTTGTGTATTGTCATTGAAAGTGTCTGCTTTCTGACGCCGCATGATTGAAATTTTGTACGATATTATATTTTTCATTAACTACAGGCGAACAAAGTTTAATTTTATCAAAATTTATTTATAAATTATTTAATTAACAAGCTTTGTTAAATACTTCAAACTATGCAATTCGTATGGTTGCCGAATATGGCTTAATAATGAATTGGAAAACTGACGATGACTCACGAAGTCACACACGATGCGGTTTATCAATAAAATTCATTCCCACTAAGACAAGGTTTGTGGTATTCGAATGATATTTCAGCAGTTGATATTCAAGCCGCATCGACCAAAATTATGAAAATTCTTATTATGGATTCTCAATTACATGTTGAGTGAAACCTCATGAGCTTCATCCTCAGGACGCGTTGGAAACGATTGCGAGCGGGCAGAAGTATGGCTACCGTTGATCGACAACGTCATATTTTTTGACATATTTTTTTGCGTACAGGTTTCGGCGTGTAGCTCACCTGCATGTACGCTGGCTCAAAGGTAATGGTGCTGAATTGCATCAGAAAAGCAGTTTCTCTCGGCGAGAGGCTACAGCGCCATCGGTACTTCGCCGAAATATGACCTTGCCGGAATCGTTTCTACCTGTATGAATGATGCAATCTAGTTCCAACTTTTGACGTATTCTTTGGCAGTAGCAACGGTGGGAACGGCTTAATTGTATCTTTGACGCGATGGCCTTGACCTCATGGATAAACCTGATTATCAAGCGAATAGTAGTAAATGTTAGGTATATTCTTTTAACAATGTATTGTATGATAGGAATAGGTACCGGAATATCAAGGCTAATTTTTGTCTAGTGAACTCCTGTGGGATATCAGGTAAGATTGCAGCTTCCATTGGGAAATACTGTGACTCATATCCAAAGCATCTTACGCTGGTTATTTGTTAGTTGCAGCACGACGCCTGCAATTTTGGTCGTATCGTACAGAGACTATTTTTAGCAATGGAATTGAAGCCACACACAAGCTTCTCTAATCGATTTACTGACAGAATTTTAAAACTACTTCATCATTCCAGAGATCATCCAAAGTACCGACACATTTTATTCAGTTTCAATTTGTTGGAATGTCTAGTTAGAGAGAGCGATCTCATGTCATTCTTCCAATGATTTCAAATTTATGTAGCCTATATAAACATTCAATATTTCAACGTTAGTGCAAACTACCATGTTGAATTATGATTTTTCTTCACTTATGTTCAATAGTAGGCCCCTATGGAGGAGTGAGTGGGCAGTTGAAAGCATAATAGGATTGCATTAGTGGGCATTAGAAGCGTGTGTAGTGCGTAGTACTCGAGTGTGTAGCTTCCAGTAACTAATACAGCTTTAAATACTTGTTTCCGATATTAATCGGAATTAATTAATATCGCAAACAAGCATAAAAGCCTGTACCGTTAACTGGTATTATAAACCTGCATGTACCATGAAATTTATAATAGGTATTTAACTTGAAATCTATGCTGGGTTAGCCAATGTTCGAGCAAGTAACATGACATTCCACAATAATCATATAAACAAGTTAGCCCAGTGTTGTTAGGGATATAATCCTTTCTCTTTGAAAATCACTTGATTCTTAATCCCGTCTTCCCGAATCTTGTCGTATTGAATCCCGGCATACCGAATTCAGTTACAAATTTTGAAACAAACAAAAATTAATTGAAATAGACCTGTTCAAACCCACATTACGCATTGAACTATCATTGCAAATTAATATCCCGCATTGAAACTAAACATGAATGTGAACATTTTTACTATTTTTACTAATGGAAGCCTACCAAAATGTGATAAACAAAAAATGAAATACAATCTACCCCTACTATATTTTCACCGTATCATGATTCCATCACAACAAATTAAATTGTATTTTGTAAAATGCCGACACAATAACTATTGTAAATAAGCGTTCGACCGGCCCCTATATATACCGTACTCGTATTTCCGGGCCGGGCTTCAGACGAGCAAACACACAAACTTTCATAAATTTATTGTACATATGTTGCTCAATATACTTGAGTTGGTATTTTATGATGTCGACTCATGCAAGCAATCATCAATTTATTCATTTTAAGTTCACAGTTTATAAAGTTTATATTTTCAACAAAAGTGCATGATATTTTATAAGTTATATCTCTCCAAAATTTTGCATCTTGAACGTAATCAGGATGATAATTTTTATACATCGTGTATCTAATATTTTTGTTGCTGAGCTTCACTCAAGTACCAAGTAAATTATTGGATGATTGCAGGCAGCGGAGTTGCCAGATTTATTCCATAATATCGGAACAGCATATTTGCCAAGTTATAGAACTTCAAGCATTTGTCAGGACTGCATTATAGTTTTTTCAGATCAGGGACTTACTGATTTTAATTTTACCATTAATATAAGTCAAAGAACAATCAAAATTGATTTTCTTAATGAAAATCATCGCATATCTTTTTTTATTGTAGTCGTGTTATTAAGAGACGTGACCATTGACCAACCCTAGCGACAAAATAATTTATCAGACTCCCAAAAGATCCTTATCTTCGAGATCGTTATCTGTCCAAAAGATCTTTATCAGCGCCCACGTGCTTGACAGACCGGAAGGCTAGCATATGCCGGCAGCCTATCAGCATCGCGTGGTTTTGGGGCGGTCGGATGATCGGGCTGAAGAGACGAGCGATAACCGAAACCTTGTGGCAGCGCGTGCATTTAATTTCTCTTCTCGTTGCTATGCCATAAATTGTTCGAGCACCCGTTATTTTTCAGGGGATTCTATTTGACATGATTCGGTATAATAATTAATATTTATTTTTTCTGATGGTATGCTATCTTGCAATGGTGGTAGGATATTATTATTATTATTATTATTATTCCACGAAGAGATTGTCGTGGCGTCTCGTTGGGATCGAATTTCGAGGGCACGTTGCAAGTGGCTATAAAAGACACGAGAGGATAAAAACAGATGATGTCTATGCTAAAACAAAGGACTCATATACGATCGGAAAACTTATTATAAATTGTATTAAAATTATTTTTTTTATTGACATCATCGTCATCATGACCCCATGTCATATAGATATCATGACGCCAACGATACTAGAAGTGGTGTTATAGTCAAACAAAAACGATTTAGATCGTTATGCGACCGAGTGACGTCTTCAAAAATTTAGATTCGTTAACCAAGAAAATTTAGGATTAACGACTCATTTAACGTTAACGAGGCGACACACCTTTTCAAACGCCGATTTGGTGGTCACATTCTTTCTTCGCTTTCTTCACACTCATCGTATTTTAGACTTTAAAATGAAAAATGGAGGTGTTTATAAACTAGTTCATCAATCCAGGCAATACAAAGTTCAATGGGTGCTAAGGGCTTTATATGAACTTATATTTGAGCAGTTTTTCGCTA